AGAGCCAGGAGCAGAACAGGCAGATAGAGGAAGTACACTGCTGAGGGGAGCAGCGGGTGGGTCAGGAGAGGTCTGCCACGCCATGTGGATCTCCTTCAGGGCAGGCGGGAATCGAACTCATGCGGAAATTGCTCAAGCCTCCCAGTGCTTTGCGTTAGCCCTCTGTGCCACCAGGGAGGGCCCCTCTGCTCATTTTTATAAGAAAAAACTTTCTAGTCCTCTTATGTTTCATTGAGGCCAGTTGACTATTTCTGGCTAATAGGATGTGAAAAAAAAATGACATGAGTTATCATGATTAATTGCTGATGCAAGACATCCCAGACTTTACCATCTGCCCTCCATAAATAGGGAGCCTCTCTTCATGGGGACTAAGTGATCAGGACAGAGCCCCTACAAACCTGGGTTAGACATTCAGCATGGATGAAAACTAACCTTTCATTTCATTAGGGGAGGTCGTCACTATAGCATTACTTATTTTGTCTTAATTGAAAAACCTACAAACAGCAAGGGGAACTTGTAAACCTTATTTATCTTTCCTTACTTATCATATAGGCAATGTATTTTCACATTTAACTAAATGGAGCTATTTCATTCCAGACACACAAGACCTCCAACTTAATATTAAATTGCGGGGGACCTTGACCAGCAAGGCCGGAGAGTCGGGGCCCCAGGTCCGGCGAACAAAAGAAATCAGTCACATGCGTGTAACAGAACAAAGAAAGAGCTCTTTATTGGGTTTTTACCTCAGCTATAGACAAGAGGAGAGGGATGCCAGAAAAGGAGAAAGCCAATAGAAATGCAGCATGTTTTGGTGGCAGTTGGTCTCGCAAGGGGCGAAAGTGGGCGAGAAAAGAAAGAGGAAAGGGAAAAGGTGGGGGCAGGGAGTTCTTCCCACATGCCTTTTGCAACCCGGATGTTTTTCTCTATCCGCACTCCATTTCACCTTTTTATGGTGCAAGATGCTGACAGATGCAAGATGCCGGCCTTGGTCCCCAACATTAAATAAGTTTACATTACCTCTTGGTAAGTTTTCTAAGACAACACTTCTCCTATTGTTGTAGAGCAATCCAGTGTGAACTGGGCTGTCTGTGGGACCTTACCAACACACTTAAAATTTAATTGTACTGCAGGCACATACAAAAAGGGTCAATAATGGGTTTATTTACAAAAGGGGAAAGGAAAAGGAACAGCCCAGGGAAAGAGAGAGAGATACAAGGTAACTAGACATCCTACCAGCTCAGCTGACTTGGAACTCCAGTAACACACTGATAGCCACCAGCCACGCTGTCCCTGAGAGAGAGCATGTAGAAAATGGCCCCCTGTATATATTCCCCAAAGTCTCAGAATGCCTGCTTAGCTCTGCCCTGGGGTCCTGGCAGTTCTTTCCTTGATATTGCTGGGAGTTGTAGTTTCCAATCACTGGAGTAGGGGTGGAGTCCAGAAAGCTGGAGGAGGGTGTGGAGTCCACAAAACTCTACAGAGTTCCTTTAGGACATCCTTTCCTCCTAACACTATGACATCTCTAAAGTTCAAGAAATAAACAAGAGAAACCAACATTTTTCACACATGAATAGAGTGGTACAAAGAATCAAAAAGTGTAATTTTCTAAGATCACAAATATTTATCAAAAACCATTGTAAAAATTTAGAACTCAATAAAATTATATTACTACCTAAAGACATTTCCCAAAAGAAACAAATAATGACTTTTTCAAACTTTGTCCTAAATATCAGGAAAATTTTTTTTTCTGGCAGTCTGCTATAGCCTATACATGATGACTTCTGTGCTAGTAAGCTTGCACCAGTAGAAATTAAGTTTTTCTGATGTCACTCAAAGATGAAATATAAAAAAACAAAGGAACAGAAAAAAAAAGAAAACAAAATAAGCCTGAAACTGTAATTGTAGACTTGAAGCTACCAGAGGCAGAGGGAGGATAAAAAGTGGAGGGGTTCAAAAGCCTGTGATAGAGGATTAGGCATGTTTTGATTGTCGATGTGGTATGATAACATAATGCTGAAGAGCTGTGAACCTATCCCCCTCAGTCAAATACAGTGATGTAAAACAATGTTATAGTAATAAGAAAATAATACAATTAAAATAAAGTTCTTTAATTTTTTCCTTTTATTTGGGAGGTGAAATAGTCTATTACTTCAAAAGAAAAACTGACACAAGAGAATTTTTTTTTCCAAAATGGTGTATATGAATATTTATTATAAATTTTCCAGTTTGTATGTGCTCTCTCGTTCCAAAGAGAAGTGTGAGAATAAGTACTTCTGATTGTAGCATAACTACTTTAAAATCTAAAGAAAGTAACAGAAGCAAAAGCCAAGTTATTCTTTTCCTTTCAGTTTTTCCCTTTATGTGTTAGTAGACATATCATTGGATAAGTTTAAATTTAGAATTTTTACTAAAAGTATTTCATGTCTGCCAGTATTTTAATGTGAATTTAATCCTGCAGTTGGCTCTTCATGAAACATACCATATTTAGATAAAAGCTGTCCAAATGCGCTTTACTGAAGAAAAATTTACCTGTGGTAAATAGGAACCTTGAATTTTTTCATTTAAAAGCTGTGCAACTTAAAAAGATGGTGGGAAAAAAAAAGATGTTGGAAATGCCAATAAAATGGGTCTTGCTCCAATTAAATGTTAAGTTCCTAAAGGGTAGGAACATGTATTTAATCTTCTGACATTCCCAGATGCCAGGTTTTTACAAAACTTTTAATTCCTTACAATAATTATTTAAATTAAAAGTGAAAATAAAGAATGAAAATTCTTTCTTTGCAAGTTCTTAGAAGGAACCAGGAACATTTGGTACTTTGAGTGAAGGAATGTTCAAGAAGTCTACATTCAGCTCTAAGAATACTTTTGGAGTTGTGAAATGGAAAAGGATCTTTGAAAGTTCAGAAAAATCTATAGTAATCAGAACTGCTCAATTGAACAATTCTTTTGGAAAATTATGAGTCAGGCCTGCATGCTAGTAGGACTGGGGCCAAATCTGAGTTAGTCCATGTGACCGTGACAGAATGAGCCTATGTATAATGGGGTGATTGGGTTACTTAAGATGTTCAACAGGCACGGGTTCAAATGCACCTACTGCATTTGTAAACATGCAGTACAGTTTGAAATAAAGAACTCAACAACACAGAAACACAATTTGTATCTAAGAATAAATGAATGTTAAAGATTAAAATCATCATTTTTAAGGAAAAAAATGATAATTTTGTCCAACATTGGCAGTGATTTGGGCTCAAAAGCTCTCATTTTCATATATGAGATCATTATTCAAAGTATGCTATGCAAGGTTGACCTAGAGAACACTTTACAACATCTATTTCTCCCCCTCCATTCTTTTCCCGTTGAAAATGAATTGTGACTAAATCCTCTATATGTTCCTCATCAGTACATGGAAGCTTTTCCATTCCAGTCAGAAGCACCGTTCTCTTGGATATTCCTGAAAACACCTAAGGAGGAAAACAAAAAGACTATTTTCTGAACACTTTCAACTGTAAACATATTTTTAATGTCTGCTTAATATTTTGAACTTCTTCCTACTTGAGACAAGGAATCTCTGGAAGATTTTTCAAGCAAGGGAGGAGGATCAGAATCACGTCTGAGTTACAGAAGAATAATTCTGGTGGCTATATTATAGTGAATAGAGAAAAAGTGAGCAACTTGAGGGACAGAAAGATCAGTTAAAAAGGTAGTCAGAAATTGAGATGGAAAAAAATGATGTAAAAATAAACTATATATATATATATATATCAAAGGTAGTCAGAGATGAAACTGACAGGATTTAGTGACTAGATGAATGCTAGGGGTGAACAAAATGAACAGGTCACCAAGAGTTACAGTTTCAGGTTGGTAGACTAGGTGGATGGTGGTGTCATTTAATAACTGAAGAAGAAAAGAAAAAAGGAACAAATCTGGAGTAAAGAGAAAGTGAGCAGAATCATTTTTAATGTCTAATGATATTAGACACACAACAGAAATAGAGCTGCATCCCTCTGCCATTATCTAAATAATTTCATTTTTAAAAATCATGCAATCATTAAATAAGACAGTTTTGCATTAAAGTCACCTTTTAAAAGATAACCTCATTCTCCATGAAGCAAAATATGAACAATTTTTATATCCCTCACTGATAAGATTTAAACAATAACAGAATCCCATCTTTACATTTTGTGAGGCAAAGTTAAGCAGTAAGTTCCCAAAATGGAAGAAAAGAGATAACTTTACCTGAAACTTTTTCACATGTGTTTCTGTGTATGAAGAAACAGTAACTCTGTGGCAGTTTTGATTTATATAGAGAGGATAGTCTTTCTTTTCCAAAATCTTGTCAGCCACTAGAAATAAATTTTTACTTTTTAATATCATAAATATTTTTTAAAGATTTATTTCTTTATGCATATAGAACTGGGGTACAGGACAGAAGTACAGGGGTAAGACAGAGTGGGAGCAGAACAGACAGACTGACAAAGTACACTGCTGAGGGGAGCAGAAGGCAAGACATGAGAGGTCTGCTGTGCCATGTGGGTCACCTCCCTGTCCGGGGATTGGATTCAATCTGTGTTGCAGTGGCTGCGGAGAGCTTCATAGTGTTGTGCTTTAACCCATTATGCCACCAGAGAGGGCCATCATAAATATTTCAACTAAAGTTTGAATGTCTTTCATACAAAATAAAATCATAGTAAACAGTAAATTAAGTGATTACTTTTTTAAAGAAATTCTATGGTGCACTTGTTTTTTAGCAGCACTTTTTTTTTTTGAGAGGAGAAAAGTAATGTCAAAGTTGTATAAAGTTTAACAGGAAGAGTTTTTAATAATATCCAGTAAATTTTTTTTCTCCTCTTATTAGTCCACCTTGAATTAGTGATATGATACAATGGTTAAGCGTGCAGGTCCTTGCTTGTGAGACATTGAAGCCAGTGTTGCTGGTATGAATAAAAAGTTACATCACTTGGCAGTTCCTCAAAACAATGAACATAGAATTACCAGATGACCTAGCAACTCTTCTCCTAGATATACAGCTATAAGAATTAAAGTAAGGGCTCAAACACCCGTAGTATTATGCACAATAGCCAATTGGTGAAAAACCACCCAATGCCCATCAACAAATGAATGCATCAACAAAATGTGGTCTATTCATGTAATGGGATATTATTCAGCTGTAATAAGGAGTGAAAGTCTCATGCAGACTATAACATGGGTGAATCTTGCAAGCACTATGATACATGAAATAAGGCAGAAAAAAAAAAGGACAAATATTCTGTGATTCCACTTAGGTAAGCTATCTAGAAGGTAAATCCATTGAGAAAGAATGTAGAATGGGGTTGCCTAGGGTTGGGAGTAAGAGATTATGGGGAATCATTTATTTCAGTGAGTATGGAGTTTTACTTTGGGATGATGAAAAAATTCTGGAAATATACCGTGGTGATAGTTGCACAAAATTGTAAAAGCACTTCGTGTACACGTTTTTTAAATGGTTAAAATTGTAAATTTTACCACAATAATTAAAAAGAAAGTTTGAAGGAAAAAAAAGGGAAGTACAGGGTCAGTCAAATAGTTCTGCTCCAGTCCACCTGCTAATTAGCTACCTGACTTTGGCTATGTTGCTCAATTTGAAGCCTCAGTTTTCTTTCCTGCAAAATGTATAGAATCACAGTACTTGCTTCAGATGATGCTGTGACAGGTCAGCAAAACACAGCTTGCAAGGTACCTGGCATATCTATTTTACCTTCAGATACTTCCATATCCTTCGGATGTTAATGTTAACTATTATAAGTTTCATAACTATTTTTTCGTTTTGCTGCATATAAGTCATCAGTGTTAACGATCACTATAGAGTATTAAACTAAGTTATCATTTTTTTTAACACAAGAGATTGGCCAACTAATCCCAAACAAATGGAATGTATGAAATTAGAAATTAAAATCTTTGATTGGAAATTTCCAGCAAGATTTTGTTCAGTTCTAAGACAATATATAAGACAGCCTCAAAAAATCTGTTCCCTTTGGATCTCTTTTTAATTATAACCACTCTGCCAGGAAGCCCTAAACACTATCCAATGGCCCAGGTCAAAAACTTATTGGTGTGTTTGTGTGTGCCCAGAGAAAGATCTGCAAAGAGACTCAACAAACTATACATAGTAGGATAAAGGGAAATTTAAGAAAATGTCTCACCTTTAACTAAATGTGTGTTTTTCAATTTCAACAAATTGTTTTAAAAACAAGTATTATTGTTTTATGAAGAAATCTTATTAATGTTTTTTAATTGTATATTGTGGTTAGATTTCCATAATCCAAGAGAAATAACTACAGCAAGAGATTTTTACATTGAGAATCACTGGAATATATTAACAGAAATCATTATTGAATTTCTATTTTTTAATTGTAGAATAACCAAAACTGTAAAATGCCATAAAATGATTTGATAAAAGTACAACAGAAATAACTAAAAAAGAAAGACATCTAGAAATTCTTTCTAGTCACCCTAATTGTGTCCCTTGGAATCAATTTCTTCTACCTAAAAGAACTTAATCAAAAATAAATAGGTGAGAAGGAAGAGAAAATTATGATGGATGGATGGGGTGGATGGGTGGATGGGTGGATGGACGGACTGACGGGTAGATACAGATATATCTGTGACATGCCCACTGTGTGAGCTTGACTAAGATTCCCTACGGCTCAGTATTCTCATCGATAAAATGAATATAACATCTACCTCAAAAGTTGTGCTGAGATCAGAGAAGACGCATGTACAGAACACCTGCTCCAGGTCTGGCAAGTGGTGAGAAAACATTAAGATTTAGTACCTGTTGCTTTTAATATTATCATTCTCAGTATCATTCACAGATATAATTTTTAGACTCTGCCACTTTACAAGATTCTTAAAAATCTCCCCAATTAATATGCTAATAAATCCCAAATAAAAGATGTTGAAAAGGAATATTTTCAGACATGGAAGAAAATAATTTAAATAGTAGACTGTTTTTTAACTTTCTAAATATGTGAATACCTCCAATTTCCACAAAGGTAATAACAGCACTTCGAGACTGCTTATCATACTTCACACATGCCACCTCTCCGCCTCCATGTTGGGACTTAGAGAAGCTCAGTTCTAGTTTGTCTCTCATCTGATTTTCAGGCAATACATCAGGAATTTCAGCAACATTGATCTTCATTTTAGAAACTTCTACATTAACCTGTAAAATTGTGCCATTTTCAAAAATATGAATGAGAAAGTGTCCATGTTTTCTTAAATTCTAAAAAGCTTTAATCACTGTGATACCTGAAATCTGACTCCGGTGTTTAATGGAACAGGATTGGCCATCACCTTAACATCTACATCGTCTATCCGTATGTGATGTTCCCCCAGCCTGATCACATTTTGGGCAACTGAAAAATAAAAATTTTTAAACTTTTATTTTAAGAACAAAATATCTTGTATATTTCTCATTTTCCTTGTCTTTAAAGGATCAATTTTTTTAAACGATTTATTATGTATGCATACAGAACTGTGTACAGGCCAGAGGTGCAGGGGTGGTGAGAGGGTTCACCAGAGACAGAGTGGGGAGTAGAACAGGCAGAATGATGAAGTAAACTGCTGAGGGGAGCAGTAGGAGGGTCAGGAGAGGTCTGCCTCCTCATGTGAGTCACCACCCTGGTCGGGAATCGAACTTGTGCTGAAGCAACTGCCAAGCTTCATAATGCTGTGCTTTACCCCGTTGGGCCACTAGGGAGGGACTAGAATCGAATTTTTTAATTTTTCTTGGGATTGCTAAGTGATAATGGTCTTGCCACCAAAGTAAGATATAATAATATCAAAACACATCAGCAAGAATTATAATGTAGAAATTCTCATCAAGTTCTAGACTCAACTTCTAAGAGAAACTGATAATGTTTCAGGCTTATGAAATCTGAAATTTGTATATATAGTTTTTAAGATTTATTTATTTATGCATAGAAGAACTAGTGTGTAAGCCAGAAATATGAGGCATGAAAGGATTTGGCGGAGACAGAATAGGGAGCAGGACAGACTGAAATATACTACTAAGGGAAGCAAGCAGGTGAGACAGGAGAGGTCTGTTGCACTATGTGGGTGAGCTCCCTAGTTGGGGATGGAACTCAGGCATTAGCCATGATAGCTCTGAGACTTAACCCTTAGGCCACTAGGGAGGCCCCATATAATATTTTAGTACACACCTTTCCTTTTCATTGTTGGATTAGCAGAGAACTCCCCCTAGTATAATGGACAGCCAGAAATTCCTTCTATGTTGAGTAAGCTGGGTCATTCTGATAATCTTATTTATCTTTTTGTCACTGCTTTTTAGTATGTTAAAAGCACCACAGAAATAAGTATTCATTTTTGTGTTTTTCCCAAGGATTACATATTAAATACCACAGAGGCTTGAATACCACAAATGAGTTTACTATTTTTTCCTGGCCATATTTAATAAAAAATTCTACTTTGGCTAAACTGTTCTTGACATCATCAATTAAAAAGTAAATCATCTTACTATCCAGTCACAATGCTAGCAAGTCTAATTTATTCATGAAAGTGGGAGAACAGTGATATAACTATACAAAAATAATTAGAACTTCAAGTATCAATTGTATGTCAGTTTAAAATGCATGTGAGTGTGTTTACTTTTGTGTGACATTAGAATTTATAATACTTAAGTTCTTGGGCCCTCCCTGGTGGCGCAGCGGTTAAAGCACAGCACTAAGAAGCTGAAGCCACTTCTGCATGAGTTCAATCCCCGCCTGCCCCAGAGGTGGTGACCACATGGTGTGGGAGACCTCTCCTGACCCACCCGCTGCTCCCCTCAGCAGTGTACTTCCTCCATCTGCCTGTTCTGCTCCCCACTCTGTCCCTGGTGAATCCTCTCACCCTCCATATCTCTGGCCTGTACCCCAGTTCTGTATGAATAAATAATAAATAAATCTAAAAAATATATTAAAAAAAAATACTTAAGTTGTTAACATTACGAGCAGCTTACTATACTTAGAAGTGATGCTCACTTCTGGTTTGATAAACCTCAATGTGTTTATGACTACCAGATAGCACTCCACAGCTGGAGGAAGAGAGAAAGAAGATGAGAAGGCAGGGCCCTGTCGTGTGGGAATTCAGACTCATTGTATCACAGTATGTCTGGAAAACTTGCCTTATGACTTTTTGTTGTTTATGACAACAGGCAACAACAGAAATCATCAATGAAGTAATAGTCAGCTGTTGCTCCTTCCCTCTCTCAACCCCCACGCCTTTCAACATTAAAAGCCTTTGTTTTAATGTTGCTCTTCAGTTTATGGTGTTGGACTGGATATCCAACATCTGGTGATCTGAGACATCGGAGAAGGACCACGTATGTTTCATTTTCCATAACTCTGGCTATCCAAAACCCACTGGTATTTAGTTGTGTTTAAATCCAGAGCTGTCCCGGGATAACTAGATCTCAGAGCCAGGCAATGGGTGAAGCTGTGACTCAGATGTTTTTCAAAAGAATCCTATTCAGAGTTCCCAGGTAACTTCTGTGCAGAAACCCTGCTGTGTACCCCTCTGTCCGGTATATTCTGTTGCCACTGACAATTGCCAGTGTGGCTCTTGGTCTCCTCCTCCACCCTCAGGTGCAGGGGAAACCAAGAGTGAACGAACATACAATGACCTACTAGAAAGCCTTTCTTTAAATGTTGATTTTCAGTGTATAGCGAATGACTGGGTATCAGGAAACACGAGTTATAACCACAGATTCTCAGATCACTGGAAGATAAAGCCCATCTGGTCTCACCCCATAAACAGACAAAAACAAGAATGAAGAATCGAGGGTAGCCTGCTTGAAAGAACGTTGGTTTAGAAAAAAGTACAAAGATACCCAGGACTTGACTCTCAATAAAGCAATTTATTAACTACACAAACCCTAAGCAAGGTCCTTACCTTCTTCAAGCTTCTGTTTCATTATCTGGAAAATTTCTAACATATAACAGTAAAAACAGATCACATTTTTGAAGTGTTTATTATGTATCAGGTACTGTGTTAACTATTTTATTAACATTTCTCCTTTAATACATAGCATCTTCCTAAGGCAGGTACTACCACAAAGCTGATCATAAAAATCTGAAGATGGATCAAGAACCCAACCAATCTAAATCACATTTCTAGGAAGGAGAAAAGCCCCTCCTCAGAAAGGGAACCCCAGCTTTGAAGAAGATTCTACACCATAGCAGACTTAGCTAACATCAAACTCTATTCCAAATCTCTGAATTCTGGGCTGCGTCCATTTGCAGATTGTGTGGCCTTAGGTAAATAAGAATCCCTTTTCTTGACTATACAAAATTAACAGCAACTGTCCATCCCTGTTCCTTTCATACAGTTCTATGAATAATGTCCATGAGAACTTTCTGAGAATTATGTTTAGCTCTATGACTTTTGAACATGATTACCAGTGCCATCACTGGGAGGCAGCATATGGAGAACAAAGACTGTGGTTCTGGACATCACACCTGGCTTGAGTCTTAGAGTTAGTACTTTCCAAATGAGTAATCATATTTGAGTCACTAAACATTTCAGTCACTTTTCTCATACGTAAAATGGGAATAATCATATCCACCCCAAGTTGTTACTCAAATGAGATGAAATGATATGCACAGAAAACATAAAGTAAGAGCCAAATAAATATGAAAGGTTTTTGAAAGCCTGAGAGCTTTCCAAAAGTAACGTAGTTAAATTTCTAAACAGGTCATACCTTCTTCTTTTTCAAAGGTGATAAGAACTTGTCCTTTTTGTAGCTCATAAGGAATTTTTGAGTCCACTTTAAATGAAGAGGAGACATTGAAAAACTGGCTGTCGTTCTCAGGATCCTCTGTAGTTATGAATTTCAATTTCATTTTAGGAATATCCTCTTTAATCTAATTCAAACAGAACTGTTTGATTATTATCACGATAAGAAATAACTGAAGTCATGCCAATGATAATGTGATTTCATCATTCAATAATTCACTCTCCACTGATTTTAGAATTTAGTCTGTTCTTACTTGACATTTTTAACAGTGCTTCTTTCCTGGTAAGTACTCAGCAATATAATCAAATGCTGATCCTTTAATATTACTTCACAGATAAAGACAAAAGCATTTAATCTCTCACTTTATCTGATCAATGTTTTAGCTAGTCATTATTATATGACGTTTGACTCTAAGCCTTACATCATTCCTGCAGATAAGCACTTTTTAAACAACTGTGCCAATAATAGTCTGTCTTACAAGGGAGTCACTAGACAATACACTACCACTGCAAAGAGGTATGAAATACAATTGGATATATACAATGATCATTTTGATAGTAGAGCCAGATAATTTCATAAAAAAGGGAAGATTCCTCATTATATAATTAAAAATTTATTAATTTCAAATTTCCAGCTCATCATCTTTTTTAGCAACATGAATTATTATAATTAAAAAAGGGTGAAACTGTTATAAAATAAAAAAAAGGTGAAAGGTATATCAAATTCAAATTTGGGAAATTTCGGAAAGAATTAAAATGGGGAAGATATACATGCAATTTTTTTAACTGTGAAATTCAATGAAATTACTATTTCATTTTTTAATGGAGATACCAAAGAAAGAACTTCAAGAACAAGAATTTGATCCCCAAATGGTTAAGAATGACCAGTTTTTGTTTTTATTAACATATAATTAAATATTTTAAAGAATTAGTATCCTAAGTATACAGCAAAATGAAATTTGGCGAAGTGTTTCATACACAGGAGACCAGCACTCAATAACAAGAAAAAAAATGACCAATAATATCTCAAGAGATTCCTTTCCAGTTCCTACATCCCCCCAAAATGGGTAAATAGCATTACCTGCTAACTTCTACCATTCCAGTTTTGTACTTTGTTAAAAAGGAAGCACATATATTTTGTCTATTTGGTCCAAGATAATGTTTATGAAATTCATCCAAGTTGCTGCATATACTTATGCTCATTCATTCACACTGCAGTGCAGTATTCCACTGTGGGAATGCACCCATTTATCTGTCCTACTAGGGAGGGACATTTTGGGGTGGGGTCAGTTTGGTGTTACAGATAATAATGCTTTAATGAAAAAAAGTGAATTTTTTAAGGATTTATTTATGTATTCATACATGAACTGGGGTCTAGGCCAAAAGTTGGGGGTGTGAGAGGATTCACCAGAGACAGAATGGGGAGTAGAACAGGGGGACCTACTGAAACACATTGCTGAGGGAAGCATGGGCCAGGTAGCAAAAGCTTGGTAGCACTGAGAATTTAACCCTGCACCAGGAAGAACTTATAAGTGAATAATTTTATAAATAAATTTAGTTTTATAATTAAATTGCTTTTCCTGAAAAGTGGGTATGCAACATGATCCACAAAATAAAGGACTTACCTTTGAGTTTCTGGTGGTATCCTGTAACTCAGCTTCAAGCTTTCTGACCTGCTCCCTTAGCTGAATATTTTGTTGTGAAATTTCACAAAGTAAATTCTAAAAAATATCAAATAGTAGCAAAAAATTAAATATCTCTGAAGTCTTTTTTTTTAATTAATTTTATTTTACTTTTTGTTTTAAAGATTTATTTATGCATGGAAGAACTGGGGTGTAGGCTATCAGAGCAGCGGGTAAGAGGATTCACCAGAGACAGAGTGGGCTGCTGAACAGGAAGATCTACTGAAATACACTGCTAAGGATAGCAGTAGGCAAGACAGGAGAGGCCTGCTGCACCATATGTGGGATAGCTCTCTGGCTGGGGGATGGAATTCATGACCAGTCGTGACAGCATGATATCACTGATACTTTTAATCCCCGTGCCACCAGGGAGGCCTTGAACTATTTTTTTTTTTTAAGATTTGTTTATTTATGCATACAGAACTGGGGTACAAGCCAGAGCTGCAGTGGCGGTGAGAGGATCCATCAGAGACAGAGTGGGAGCAGAATAGGCAGATTGACTGAAATACACTGCTGAGGGGAGCAGCGGGCAAGACAGGAGAGGTCTGCTGAGCTATGTGGTTCACCTCTGGGGCTGGGGATTGAACTCACACTGAAGCAACTGTGGCTAGCTTGCAGTGCTACACTTTAACCAGTTGCACCACCAGAGAGGGCCTGAACTCATTTTTTTAAATGAATGAATAAAACAAAATTTCCTTTATCCTGAGCAAGGTAAAGTAAGGCACTAGGCAATGTAAGAATTAATATGATCACAAAAATAATATATTTGTTGAATGCTTTACATCATCACTTTTCAATTCTCCTACTACTACCAATACCAACAAGGAAACCATAATTGATATGAGAACAAAGACACAGAAATCTTTACAGTACAGCAAGGATTGTGACCACTATCTTCTGAATCTTAATTCAGTGCTCTACCAATTCTCTTCCTAACTAGTTGTGGCAAAAATATGATTTTTAATTGTACTGTAATTGTGGCCATGTTAATCCATTGCAATAAAAGAAAATTTCTGTGATTCTCATAGCATAGCTGCCTTGCCAAGAAAGGCATATGGCCATGGGTAAGTGAAGCTCTTAACTTTCAAACGCAAAGCAAAGGAGTGAAAAAAGCAGTTACTATTCAAAGTCTTGTAAAAGAAAAAGTAGAAAGATATCTCATACTGTTTGAATAATGGAATTTTTAAAAGTTTGAAAACCCTAATATCCTCCCAATTAAAATTAATTGTGGAGAAAGACATATAAAACAATCTTCATTATCAAGTTAATAGATATTATAATAATTATTAATTATAAAATACATAGTAATTTTCCTTTTTACCTGTTTTTCTTCATCTTTCATAAATCCATCTTCTAGGCAATTTGTGTTAAGCAAGCTTGTGTTATATCCATCAACTGCCATCATTTTCTGATTGTTATAAAAAATAAGCATTTTTTAAAAAGTACATACATACAAATTCAAGAAGAGACAACTTTTACTCTTTTATAAGAGAAACGCCTCTTCTTTGCTATGTCTCCGTCCTATCATCAAAGTCTTTGCTGCCATGTAGCTAGTATTCAAAAGAATGCTATATTTCAAATAACTTTTACACCTATAAATATATAAAATGGTTCTAAAAATCTTTTGCTTTTCAGCACAATACAAAATAGTGGGCATTAATATTCTTTTGTGTTCACACTTCAATCATAATATGATGCTGCATTTCACCAATAAAACGTTTTGGTTTCTAGCCTTTTTCATTTAAGTATTTAGTTCTCCCGATTGTACTCTTCAGAATGTGAATACAAGTAAAAAAACCCCAAAACATGTTTCTTCCACAGTTGCAGGAGATCTCTTGCACTTCATACTCCTCTGGAGTCCAATCACTTAGATGGGGAAAAAAGTTACATTTTCACTTCTTTCTTTCTTTCTAAGATT